CTCTACACTGCTCAAAACTCGCGTTTGAATCGTCAGTGGCACATTTTTTTATATAAAAAACGTACTTACAGTCAGAACAGCCGGAATTGTAGTCTACTCTCCCAGGATCAGGAAACAGTCCTGCATAAAATGTGCTGCACACATCTGAATATTTGGGTTGAACTGTTCTGGAACAGTGTTGTAAATACAACTTAACCACTGATTTCTAGTTGTGTCCATGGCGGCGGCGGTGGCAACAACAATACTACAGCGAGAATAAAAGTTACACCTTTCTTTGCGTGAACATTTGGGCGGCGTTATGCAAATCTTCCCACACAGTGAGGTAGATATGTGGGGTGTGTTAGAACGAGCCGTTTTAGGTAGGCGTGGCTGACTCTTAACTTTTATAAAGAATATCTCTTTGGATTTGAGACTTTAGTCTTTGCAACTTTACAGATCTTCTTTATGCACCAAGAGCTTGTAACACTCCAAAGAGAAAGGACAAATTTAAATCGCATCATATGACCCCCTTTAACTTCTGCATTTACATCTGCAAGATGTATTTTGAGTGTTTGCTCGTCTGTAATACGTTTCCTATCAGATGTCAAATAGACATTTAGAAAATGTCTTTAAGATGTTTATTACTTATATGTAACACTGACATCTTAAAGACGTCTATCAGATGTTTGTAGCCTACACAGCAGATGCTTTCCAGATTAAGCGATCATTAGCAGACATCTTGCAGACGTACATGTGCTATCTGGGAATGCAGACGTCTAATAGACGCCTTCGTGATGTACGTGTGCTACGGTATCATTAAGTCCCGGAGCTTCTCTTTTTTTACCAGATCGTTTGAATGAAACAATTGTCGAGGACATGCATTTAAGCTTATAAACGTCTCAAAACGTGCATGCTGTCTTAACATCATGACATGAGGTGGCTACTCCCCTCGATGTTTTAACAGTGAAAGTTATCCAGTAATCTGACAGAGAACTTTCCGGAGACGTCAGTGTTGATGAAGTGCCTCTGAAGTGCTCACCGGATTCCACGCGCACCTGTTCACGAAGCTCAAAACAAACCGGCCGCACGCGACTCTGGAGACACGGAATAGTTTGACTTCCCCCTTTTAACGCTTTAAACTTTGGATTTTGTCTTATGAGATACTGGAAAATGATTTCTTTCAGGACCCTACGACTGACTAATGTGGGAGTTATTGGCTCACTGGCGAAACACATCGCAAAAAGCAGCTCAGCGTGTCACAATGTGCTGAGAAAGACGTTCAGTTTATCTTCGAAGATTCACGCGAGCCAAGAATTGATCGCTCCTGCTTCCGCGGAACAACCTACATCAAAAAAGTGAGTCACTTCTACAATAAATGAAATAGTATATAAAAA